AAGGCAGTCACACGTTCATCGCCTTGGAGACTGAGGCCCCCTGGATAGACTCATTTCCTCTCAGGGAGAGGGAGGAATTCCTGCTTGCTGGGAAAGTGCAAGAAGAGGAATTGCACCCATCACCCAGGGGCAGCAGCCTCCCCTCAACCCTGCTCAAGGTCAGAACCACTTAAGATGTAGCAGAGTAAAGGAAGTGACCGGTGAAAGACATCTTACCAGAAGAGAAAATAAAAGTGTATTTAACTTCAGATTACTATAGACAATGATTTAGATCACTATCAAGTTTTGCACTAAATACCAAAGACAAGCGTACTGCTTATTTCATAAGAAACAGAAAACCAAGCAAAATGCTGCTTGTTTCCAACTGCAACAGTTATAAGACCAGAGTTATATTCCTGTACATGCATTTTACTGACTTATTTCAGATAGCTCATTTTATTAAATCATAATGGATGATGTGCAAAAATATCCAGATGTAGCCAGTATCCCCAAAGAAGTTTTATTGTATGTAAAGACTTTTAGCAAGCTTTCACAGCTATCTAGAAATAAATTTGGGCTTAGAAAAAAAAAGAACACGCCATAAGCTAACTATGGAAAATGAAGAAAATAAAACCTCTTCTGGAAATGTTTTAAAGGGATGGTATAATCTTCAAACAATTCACCTCCCCCTGTAAAAGTAGGAACAAAGTTACTGCTAAACGTGAGCAGGGATAATGGACTGATGAAGGCCGTTTTCTGAAGGGCACAGGAAGCTGAAAAGAGGGAAATTTTGCAGGTACAAAGCTGAATTGTCCAACTTGTTTTTTGGTACTGTGATACCGAAGAAAGTTCGAAGAAAGTTAAATCGTTGTCCAACTTGTTTTTTGGTACTGTGACATAGTTCGAAGAACGTTAAATCAACAGTGTATACTCTGTCAGTCCTGGACTAAAAATCGAAGAAGTACAAATCTTAACCTCTTCTATCCAAAATCTATTCAAAAAATAGTGAGAGGACTTCTTTCTTTCTCTACTGTAGCAGAATAGTGGCCCCAGTGACCTACACAGCTTTAACCTTTGAGAATGAACTAAGTAAAGTTAATTGAGAGAAAAGGGGACACTGTGAGGACACAAGGGTTATTGTAATAAGACTTTGCACGTCGATATTGTGAATATGCCGCTAGTCTTTTCAAAGTAGTCAAAACACAAGCTGACATTTCCCAACACCTGATGACAAAGAATTTGCAGGGTATCTTCACGGATTACTGTGTGCAAGGTGTTTTTTTATTATTTCTTATATTTATATCAATTATTACTGCTACAAACACCAGTTCTTAGTAAATCTTAATATGAACCCCATAATCAGGCTTAAAGTGATAGTAAAACATTTCTACATAAAAGAATACATTTCATTTTTAAACTCAAGAACCAGAAAAATGGATAAAAACCATTTTAGAAATCAGAACTGAAATGAACCCAAAGCTCCTCTTAACACTGACCTTACACCATTACACATAGCATAGGTAAAGATAAGACTAATGTACTAATGTCAATTAGTGTCATCTGTTATATTCAGTGAATGCACATCTTGTAGGCATATAGGAGACAACAGGAGATGTGTTGTTGAATCTGTTCTATGACATTATGACTGCTATCCAGTAATCCACAGGTGAAGAATGAATATGACCAGAACTTTCACAAGAATAATCTGTCATTTAAAGACCTCTACATTGTAGCTTCACAGATTTGACAGAAAAGCAGTAATCTACTATTGAAAAAGTCTGTCAGAACTGAGTGCCATTGAAGTAGGCTCTCTGCTTGAAGTGCAGATAATTTAGAGTGCAAGAAGGATCAAGATAAACGCTGTGCTATGATACACAATTCATGTTTAGAATACTTTCCTGGCAATGAGGTGCTATTTTACTCAAAGTATGAAACTATTTTGATGTTCTCATTAACAAATAAGCATAGCAATCAAAATTGGAACTTACCCCCTCATTGTCTCTGTGTGGATTCAGTCTACTGTACACAGCTTCAATAATATTACGCCTAAAAAGAGAAGTTTCAAGAAGTTTGAGCACAATGATAAAGGATTACAAAACATTCAGATGTTCTGCCCTTAACCTGCCAATTAAGAAGATGAAATCCACCATCAAATCACAGTCTCCAAATCCACCATCAAATCACAGCTTTTGGTGTGTTTGGAGATTTAATACATAAATTGGGACTTATGAAGACTGAATAAGGCAAAACACTCTCTTACCTTCTACCTTTTATCTCTTTGCACTTTTAAAAATTCCAGCTGCATAGTCAGATTTTTGCCAAGATTAATGATTAAAACTGTTTTGCTTATTGCAACAAAGTTACTGCAATTAGCTGTTCTTCTTATCACCTTCCTTGATATGAAATTTGAAGATACTTATTTGTTTTATTACAGAGACGGTCTAAAACTTGCCTGGGAACAACTGCGGTGTGTTTTTTCAGTACCTATAATTTCTGAGGCATATAGTCCAGCACCTATTCACATTGTAGATACTAAATCCCAAACACCACTAGCTAGATTTCTTTTGGGAGCATCATGCAAGACTAACATCATAAACAGCAGGCAAGAGAAGCAAGATTTAAGACACTCTTAAAGAATGGAAACAAAATTGAGGGAGGTGGTAGAAAGAGGGAAGTTTGCAAACATATAGACACTCACAACCCAAAGAGAAGTATTTACAAAAAAGTAAACCTTTCTTCAAGACGTCAGTGTAAGGAAATACCTGATCCTTCCCCCTTAAAAAATATGGGAAGATTTTAAAGTTTTCTGGAATAGTGCTGCTTTGAAAAAAAAATTAGCTGTTTATCCAGAGTTCAAGTGAAATCCCACTTGGTTGTTCTACAGATAACAACTGCAAGATGAGCATCAACACTGAAGAAGTGCAGAACATTCTAAGACTGTGTAACAGGACGATAAATAAAATTTAATGTAATTCAATTCTAGGTAAGAGAGACATGTGAGGAGGCGCAGCGCTTAATTCACATACTAAGTGATGGGCTCCAAGGCAACCATTAGGCTCTGAAGCAAGATTTCGAAGCTACTGGGCGTTTTCTCCATGAAGACTTGGGTATAGCAACAACTAAAAAGGCGAATCAAAAGCTGCCAACTAGGAATTAACAGAACAAATGCCTTGGCACGCATCTTCAACACAGCATACAAGTTACATCACTGCCTCTTCAAATCCGAATGAGAACTGGAAAAAAAGCTTAGAGAAAGGATGGCAAATATGATCAAACACATTAGTGACAGTTTCCATAAAAAGGAATTGCTACATGAACTGGGAATCTTGAGTATGGAAGAAGACAAGATTATAAAAAGAAGTAACAGAGAAGGAGGAAGTCAGAGGAAGACAGTAGGTGACATGAACTGGGAATCTTGAGTATGGAAGAAGCCAAGATTATAAAAAGAAGTAACAGTGGATAACTACTTCTATTACCTCTTCTAAACAAAGAGAAGGAAGAAGTCAGAGGAAGACAGTAGGTGACACGCTTAAAAACAAGAGGTGAGGGCCCTCGATTCAACAGAAATATTGGCATAGGACACGAAGGATGATAGAAGTTTGACTAGACTTCTCTTGAATGCATTTAACTTATTGGAAGAGAACTTTTCAGAGTTTACTAAATGCATAAAAATACGTTAGGCTCAATAAACATCTGAGCTCTGCAGTTGGAATCTGAAACATAATTTAGGAAGTATTTTATATATTTTCCTGTTCTTCTACTCCCCACTAAATATCTACTTGCAGCTATTCAGTAGACAGCATATAGAGCTAGAATGATCCTTGTTCTGACATAATATGACTAAGTCTGCGTTCATACCATGGAAACAAAACCACATTCAAAACAGAGAGATCAGTTCTTCCTGCAACCCTCAGACTTCCCAAGTGGATCCATCTAATTATAGCCCTTCCACAACTTAGAAACTCCATTCTGGTAGCAGGTGTCACCAAGAAAGAAGACTTGGTCTATTCCAGAATCAGATACATCCAAAACAGCAGATGAAAGTGTCTCCATTTGACACTTGAGTTCTACCAGATTGAACAGATATGCACTACAATTAACTTGCTAGTGACACTTGCAGAAGTAAAGCCTGATGCGAAAAGCCTAAAGAACACAGGTTCTCCAGGAATAAATCAACCATAGCCAATGTTTAAAGAAAGGAAAGTCCAGAACGGTTATGTGGCTGAGCTGGCATGGAATCAATCAAGACTGAAAGATGATTTTCTTAGAGGAAGAAAACTGAATCTTTATAGAGAAAACAAAGAGAGGGCTCTCTCTAGATAATTGCACATTTAATGACGATGGACAGAAACAATACTGACTAGTTGTCTGCACTATGCAAAATAATGGTACCTCATACTAACCTAACACAGATCCGCTGGACAGTCCAACAAGGCCGCCACGGAAGCAACCAGCAAAGAGCCATTGGAGAGGGTTTAAACAATACTTAATGTTCAGGCCTCTTGGAAATTTTCCCATCTTTGCAATTCATTGCACTTGCCTTTCTTTGTACAGCCAATTCCTTGCATTTTCATTCAATGGAGAATTCTGCAGCAAGATTTTAAGTGCAAGTGTTAATAGCCAAATGACAAAGGAGCTCAGAGGTTTTGCTGTCTTCTTCACCAAGAACCCTTCTTTTGGTAGCATTTAAAGTTACCGTGAAATATGAGTCAGGCCAGAAGCCAGTCCCCGAAGAGTCAGCTTCTTTTAGAAGAATAGCATATCACAATCCAGTGACCAAAACAGAACTGACACTTCTAGATCTCCTGTCTCAAAAAAATGAGCCACGACTGGCTTCTCCAAGTGAGACGCTCAAGGGCAGTATAGAATGCCAAAAGGAATGGAGTCATTTCAGAGGCTGCTATGTCCTCAAGGCTTGCAAACATACCCTGGTCAAGGTAACATCACAGGGTGTTTCTCCAGCTCACATGACAGTCAGGTGCAACTATAATTGGTACTAAAAACTGGGCTATCAGCCAGACATACTCTTTTCCGCTGTTCGAGCCAGGTTCTTGGAGTTCAGATGCAAGGACAAAGAATGTAAATTAACCTTATTACCCTGATAACATCACAGGACAAAGGTCTCAATACTAAGAAAACTCTTAATTGTATCTTTCTTACTAGGACAAAAGTTTAAAAATACAGTGGATGATTTGGGGTTGTACAGTCATGCTTCTTCAGAACTTCCACTTAGGGCCTTAATCTGCAAGTAAGTTTAAGTAAATATATCACAGTGGCTCCACCTCAAGTTTGAAGACCAAGTAGTTCACCAATACGAAGTGATACTCCCTTAACAGAAGCTGCAGGCATCCCTGCCAACAACAGTCTTCAGCCACACAAGACTAAAACAAGAGACAACCGGAGGAATAAGGCATAAAAAAAAAAAACAAACCCTGAACCAAAGTCCATTAAAAAGTAGTGATCTGTGCCACCACAAGTAATTAAAATAGAATTTACATGAAAAGACTCAAAACAAACAAATAAAACCCACACATGATGAATATGATGCAGTCAGTGAGCAAGTGGAGAATATGCTCTTATTCATTCAACAGTTGGAAAGGACTAAAAAGAATAGGCATCCCAGCTTCTCTGAAAGGCCCAGAGAGTACGAGCTCTTTTTAGGCTAGAGAATATATCACAGAAAGCAGCATTTATTATGCATACACACGAGTAGTCAAAAGGCAGGACTTCAGTTTTTCTCAGGAGAAAATCTCACAAAAAAAACACAAAACAAACCAAAAAACCTCAAAGGATTCTAGAAATATGTAAGATTGCCCTGCATCTCAGGGCAATGATGGATTTCTATTTGGGGAATCTTAAGTTAAAATATGCTTGTGCCATCCTAAATCCTGTTCACTGAGATTCTTAAATTATAGGTTGTTAGAAATAACCATCAGGCTCCTCAGAAAAGTGCCTTTTCTGACCTAGAGTGAGCACTCAATTTGAGTTTTAAGATAGACATCCCAATTTTTAATTTCTTCTTCTCTAGTCAGTTGAAGACTAAACAAAAGTGATTTTCCATGACAATACAACCGAGGCAAATGGGCACTGATCCAAAAATATAATGGACACTGGAGCGAAGAGAGCGGAAGCATGACATTGTCTAAACTGATACTTTGATATGATCCCTATTACATTACTGCTAGGCCTCAACAAATGAGAGCAGTAAAGAAGAATAAAAAAAGCCTCCCCCCTCACCAAATTATCTTTTAAAATGGGCCATATGGAAAGAGTAAACTAGTACTTAGTGTACCAGACCATGATCAATCTGTTTTTCTTACCATTTGAGAAAGGATTACAGAAAAGAGTTCTGCAAAACGTAAGCGAGCTTAAAACACGGAAAAGCAGCAGCTTTGGAGTTCACTTATTACACAGAGAACATTTAAATACAAGTATTTATTTCAGTGAACAAAACAGTTATAAGTAACTTCAGTACTGTACTCACTTGCCAGCTAAACCACCTCCTGGCGGTAAATTAGGGATATTCTCCGCAGATAAAATGCGAATGACATGAGCAAGATCAGGCATTCCTTCTTCACCCGATTTTTCCATAATTTCTAATTCAAAAAGAGAAGAGGTCCTCAGATGAAAAACATCTTTTCCTTTAGACACTAACACACAAGATACTATCGCATATTACACAGAGACATCAGACCAAAAAAAATTTGCATGTGAAAAGGAAAACATTTTTTTACATTATAGTTAACATTATAGTCGCATTATAGTTGCATGGTGCAATAGCTGCTCAAATTCATAGCCTACCTTTCCAGCATGCTTCTAGCCACTCTAAGTAACTAAGAATCAGACTGTCAGCTGGATAAAATATCCTGGAGACAGCAACATCTTCTCTCCCAGACAAGTGACAGCTCAGAGCCCATTTCAAGCACCTTCCCATTGCACTGCAGCACACACTCACAAGTCACATGCCAGGAAGCCAGGGCTTCCTGGGAATTCATTGGCATGCTGCATGATGAGTTAACACCTCACATACTCAAAGTCCTGAATCTCCAGGGAATAAACTGCGGCACTATCGCACAGTGAAGACAGATACGGTTAGCAGCTCACTGTCACTGCAGTGGCCAAGGCACAATATGGCACTGCCACAACCGGTAATTGACTACATAGTTGTCTATTTTCCAAGTAGAAGTTCACTTTTTCTACAGTCCAAATTTCTTTATTACCCCATTATATCAGTGTAAGTTCTTCTGTCCTGGAAAGAACTGCTTCGACTATCAAGTTGATCTTTACACTTTCTTATTCATCAAAGCTGAGGTAAGGCAGCCCAGTTCTATAAACACCCACCTAGGCATAACAGCACTAGCTTCCAGTTATCAGCCCCAGGTCATGCAGCCTGTCCACTGGGATTTTCCATGTATTTTGTCTCCCTTGATCTTTATTACCTATCTATGAAGAAAACGATACCCAGGCTCCTCTCAGGACTCCTGAAAACAGAGTACTTGGTAGCCTCTGCTCATTGAGAGGGAGTGCAGGAAAGGCCACCACATGGCTCTAGATAGCTCAACTAACCTGCATCAACCACAGCACTAGGCTTCCAGGTTGCACTTCGAAATGAGCACCATCCAAGGACGCAGAACAAGCAGATTACTAAGTATTAACGCAAACATAAGGTTTTTGCATTTTCTCAAGAGAGAATTAAAACAGTCACAGCTGGATTAATATACATTTCTTTGTACTGCAGTCTTTTAATTTATCATGTACAACCACTTGCTTGAGAGTTTTGACCTGAACCAAGAGCAACTTTACTCAGTTTTTCCAAGGTATTGAAACTTTATTAGCAATCCTGGTGAACCTGACCATCTGCTGCTTCCTTCCCTGTTGCTAACATGAATAATTTTATACATAATCTTTAGTGAGAAAAACACACATTTTCTCTTTGCCAAAAACAGCTTAATAGAAAATCCAAGTATAAAGCAAATGACCAAACTTGACCTTTTTTCATTACACATTGGTTAACACGTACATACTGTGGATTTGCTTGACAAAGAAACCACAGGGTTTCAGAATTCAAGAAACCCCACACGTCCTCACATGTGTTTCAGTCGCGTATGAATTTACGGATACTCACTTCTCTAGCATACTAAGAACCCTGCAATTACTTTTTTTGCCTTGACTGTGCAAAAAACCCATGATTGCAACAACTTTACCAATAGAAATGAATTTGACACATGCAGAATCATTTCCTGGTTTTTACCATATATGAAATTCATAAGCGCCCCCTACACAAAATAAAATTTGGTACTTCCGATACATTTACTTAAAAGTCTAATGGTAACTTAATAGACAAGTATTCTGAAAATTCAAACAAAACTTTACTCAAATTGTATATCAAAGCAGAAATTTTCCCAAACACAGACCCCCAACCAGACAGTATTGCAACATCTTTCTGCTTTCAAACATCTGTGCTGATCTCTAACTATAAGATTATGCCATGGCAAAGATACCACTTTTCTCTACCAGCTCAGACTCCAATGCCCCCAGCTTTATATACTCTACATATTCCACATATGAATAATACACCATCCAACCTGCTGCACTGAGTAGTCAGCTACTGCTTCATGGAATTAGTTACAGCTATTTTAATCTATATAGAGCAATTGCGTCTATTTAGGGGATTTGGGGGTTGCTTGTTTGGTTGGTTTAAATCTCCCTCTCATGCTTCCTTTGAAGACAAATAAAACATACTGGTAAAATTGATTTGTGCTTAATTTTTTTGTACTTGGACTATCAGGGGATCCCAAAAAACAGACAAGCAAGCAGAACAAAGCAGTATTTGAAAGTGGAAGAAAAATGAAGCATGGCCTTCTGATGTACTACAGCTTAACATTATTCAATACTCCTGCAGCAGTTTGGAAATCAGCCAATTAAGCAACTCAATCAAAAAAAATCCCAACTAGCTGCAGAGTTTGAGTATACTACTCTCTATTACAACTCTGCAGACACTATCACCTGGCAAGTTTTTAAGTTGACTTTAAATAGCTTCAAAAATCTGTTATGAAACTAAGTCAAATCATCCTACTAATACACAGGATCTACCTCTTAAGTCCTAAACTTAATTCTATAAGACTAAAATAGACTGAAAAAAAAAGTCTTAAAGGCTGGCCAGAATAGTCCAAATCAAGTTGAAATTTAAGATCCACAAAAGAAAAAACAATCAAAGAAACAAAAAAAACCTTGCTAGACAGTACATATTGTCCAGATACTGAAGAACAGGTACTGTTTATCACACTAAAACTGCTCTAAATTCCTCAAATTTCAGAATTCCCCAAACCTTAACCCAGGGTTTCTACCTAACCTATCAGGTTTGAAGCCCCAAAACAAGTCAGAACTATGAAGAAGCCATATCATTCCTCATCCGGTACACAAACATGATGTTAAAAAACTCCAGCCCAGCAAGTTCTTGGCCAAGAATTTGCTGTTTCTTTAAATCAAGAAAGACTTCTGTCAAGTTAGCAGTTTCATACAATTTCTTTAAATCAAGAAAGACTTCTGTCAAGTTAGCAGTTTCATACAATTTTTTTTTTAAATGGAGGGGGAAAAACAAACAAACAAAAACGTATTTCAAGTTCTGATTTCTCCATTTCCTCTATTTTTCCTCAATTCCTTGGCAGAATTTCCTCAAATATGCTAGCACTCGCTCATTCCTTTTGAATATTTGACATTTAAAGGTCATGCACTCCATCCAATTAGCAGAACACAGAATGACACTGGAAACTCATGTAGCAAAAAAATCAAAAACAGCTGAAGTAACCAAAGTGACAAGCTTTGAAGTGAGGCACTTCTGTTGAGTTCCCCAGCTTAGCCATCATTTTTAGTTACGCTCAGAGGGGCTTTGCATCAGTTCAGCCGCCGAACTCTCCACCAAGGTTTTGGTGTGCGTAGTACTTGGTTTATGGCACTGCAAAGGTAAAGTACATTTGTGGTAAGAAGTAACCGTCGGGTTAAAGTGTAACTCAGGCATACTACAGCCCTGAAATATTACTAGTAAATAGTGCTTCCTACACCATTTCTACACTTGATCCAGTCATCCCAACTAGCAGTTATTTGACAGTCCTCCAACAGCCTCCGTGATTACAAAGCAATATGCACACAACGGTTCTATATATTTTTGCCCATTCGCTCATCAAGAGGAGATGCCAAGAAGCCAAGAATACCAACTCGCGATGACTCTGCTCATGCAACTGCTGTCAGCGAAGGTAACTGCTCCTGGCTTTCTCCCAATGCCTATTAACAGCTTGTGCATCACTCAGACATAGGCAGATAATAGGTATTTATCTTAACCAGTGTCATCCAGGAAGCCTGGGCTGTGAGCCAAGTTCAGAGAAACACGCCTCGAGTTAGCATTTCAAGTGACCAGCAGCTCCCACTGATCTCAACAGAAACAACAAACACACATGTCACTCCAGGGACCCAGCTAAGACCCCATTTAAACAGGAAAAAAAAAATATATATATATATACACACACACAGACACGCTCAAAGATATCCTGCTGTATCATGGCCTGAAGGCCATCTTTTATATATTTATAAGTTCATGTTTTACATCAGTGTCTTCAATTGTCTGGAATACTGGGAGACTAACAAAAACAGAAAAAGAAGAAAAAACACTAAATACATTTATCTCACTTGGTTACAAAAGATTTTTAAAACACACATCCAGGACAAGAGTATAAGTGATTTACTCAGCTCTTTCACACAAAAGCAAATGAAATATCTGTAGTAAATGCCACTTACAGCACAAAAATAAATTTGAGGATTTCTAATACTAGGACAAAATTGAGATTTCTCCCCCCATGGCAACCAGGTTACATCACATTTTCCAACAGCCAATTGCAATTTCCAATAGCAGCTTTAAATTCAATTAGCAATAAGAGAGCTTACGAATGGTTAGCTATATGCTCCTTTATTTTTCTTTTAAATACACTGCCAGAAGGCTCCTGATGCTCTCAGTTGTGTAGTGCCAGGTTTGCTTCCACAGAGTCCCATCCACTTTATATATAGTCATAATACCTAATGCTATTGATTTGGATTTGAACTGCTGAGTAGTAAAAGCATATCCAGTCAGTCCTGTAAACATCCATTCCTGCATATTAAAAAGCAAGCAGTTCTCAGGCGTTCAGATAAACCAAAAACCAAAACCAGAAATGATATCATCTACTATGCAACATTGCAGGAGTCCTATGATAACACTTGTCATCAGAAAGTCCCAAGAAAGGAAAGGGACTCTTACCTCAACAACACGTCATGCTCACCGTGTTTGAGTGCCTGGAAGCTTCCAGGGCCAGAGAAGCATTTGGCCAGCTATGCCTTCCCTTCACACTAAAGGGGCAGCTCAGGCTGCCAGTGCCCCCAGCCACAGTTTAAGCCACTAAATCCTTGATATAGTCTCAAGGCAGACATGGCTTCTTGCTGGTTCTGACCAACAAAGTCCCAAACGTCCTGGGAACCAAATTTAAGGTTACTCCCCATAGACTTATGTTAAAGAACACTGCTGAAGGGTCCGGCAGGCCACCAACCGGGCGCTTTTCAATACAAACACAGAAAAGCATCGTCTCAACAGCAAAATTCAGTGTGACACCAAAACACTGGACTTGGATGTCTTTCTCCCTTTCTGCCACCTGCCAAGACGACTGTATAAATTCCTGCCCATCTACAAATGGGCCAGCTCTGCATGGAACAGATATAGCGATCAGGATAATCTATTCTAGACCTGAAACAAACCGAGACAGGGTTCAAAACCTTTCAGGCTTCCTTCTAGTCGATTTGTTCTTCAGCAAGCCCTTCCAATACCCTGAACACTGTTGCAGTGGCTGAAAGCTCTAGTAACTTTCTTCACCATTATGAAGTAAATGAGATATGCTTCTTCATTAGTCCTCTCATAATCTTAAGAAAGTTTTAAAGAATCAAACCGAGGCTTTCAAAACTCCTGAAGACTGCTTCCCTCCAAAGATGCTGTCGTACAATCCTACCCTAGCAATATTCATAACAGAAAGACAACCTAATCCAAGAGGAGCCCTTTTCATGCCTGGATTGCTTTTTTAAAAGCCTGTGCCAACACATGATCAATCCTATAAAAATGGCAAACACTCAGCATCAACCCCGAGCTTCAGTCAGCTCCAGCAGAACTCTGAGCCGTATCGGATCACTAAATGAATCAAAGATCAGAGGCCACTACGTATCAATGCCTTGTCAGTCCTCAGAACAGCCTTCATGAGCGATAGACGTTTTGAAACCAGAAGCAATTCTGACCATCTGCTTCAAACATCACTTTTTCAGACATTAAGAATACTACAGAACAGGAATAAATATAAATGAGCAAACCTGCCAGCTACGCTACCTTTCTTTTGCTTCTGCTGAAGGAAAGAAGTTGCATTCAAACTTGGGAATGCAACTATGAAAAGTCATAAAAATCAGTGACTAAACGGAGCAGTTAGGAATTAAGTTTAGTCATCCACAAAAATTCTGGATGATATTTTCATACGCATAACATTTACACTTAGCATGCATTCAGAAATTGAAAGGATATTTGCACTCATGTGCACTTTCATCATTTATTTATTTTTCTTAAGCAAAAGTTTATTTTAAGGATGCCCCAGTGGCAAAACAGCTCAAAGCCGTGTTGAATGTTTAGATAACATTTGGATGATAAATTGCATCTTCATGCAGAACTGAAAGTTTTTTTTGTTTGTTAAAAACTTTCATAAAAACAAGGGAATAATTAGTATCACAAACTTCCCTTCTAACTGTACTTTGTAAGTAAGACTTTAGCAGTATCACAACTTCATTAGCTGATATCTATGCCCTTCAAGGTCAGTGGTTGCACTTTATCTTGTTAAGACAGAAATACTAGCCCAAAGTTCACATTAAAAAAGCTTGTAGTATATGAAGATAAACTGATCACATGGCTCATGCATCAAAACTCAGAGTTGCAATCACGCTTGAATTTGATCCAGCATAAAAAGCATTGATGTTTTCCAGGGTTTTTGTTTTCACGGACAGAAGGTGACAACAGCATTTCTCATGAACAAAACAGATTTCTTACCTTCAACCCGTGATTCCAAGTGCTTATCCAACTCGGCATCTTTTTTCACTGCCTCTTCTGAGACCTTAGGAGCATTTGAAAAACAAACTAGTACAATACTCATGTTATCACGACTCCCCTATACAACAAAGAAAAAAGAAGAATTAGTATCTTCAGACTTATTTCTCCTTTTCTATCCTTGCTATCAATCATACTTCCACTTGTACCAAACACAGTACTACCAATTTACTTGGGAAAAAGAAACTTAACTATAAAACTGTATTATGATAAGAACCTCTTATTTATAATGTTAATTTCAACCAAGTAAAACAACTACTAACCACCAGCTAAGTATTCTTATTCTAAAGTTTAAACATATTTAATGAACTTATTATATGTCAATTGTTTAAAAATAACATAAAAAAAAGTCATAAATTAAGGAGTCATTTACTGTCACCTTGAGCCTAGTTAAAAAACAATTAATGTTGCAAAATGAAATGCAGAATATTCTAGATGACTAGAATAGCTACCACGATCTACTATCTATTTCAATTTAAAAACATTACATATCATTACAAGCCTGCTCATCAGATAGTACTTGAGTAATACCTAGAACCTTGATGAAAGTTGCAAAATACGAATTAATTAGCATGGTAAAGACTGACCTTACAGACTAGCACATGCTTAACAACAACAGCATGTTTTTTTTTCCCTGCTATTAAAAGGCAGATGCTCTACTAGTAAACTCCAGTACTATTCTGCCCAAGTTTAGTTGCAAAACTATAATCCATTTCTGAATTTGAAGAAATTAAAAACAGTGCTCTTGTCCCTACTGTCTGACTCTCCTACAAAGAAATCCAGTGGATGCTCTTGACTTCACTTTGAAGGGTCTTGACTTCACTTTGAAGGGTCTATGACTTTGAAGGGTCATAGAATACGAGTTTAGTAGCAAGGCTACATTATTAGTTGGAAATTAAGAATTAGTGTGGGTAAAGAAAAGTTCTGTGAAAGTCTCTGCTCTTACACTAAGTTTGAAAATTTTACTATAATCATTACGTAAATATAGCCTTACCCAAGCTAACCCCAAAATTTAAGGGTCATTAGGCATTGCATGTCATTTCTGTGTAAAATTGACCTACTGGAGAGTTCTCACCATCCACCACAATTCATCCACTTGAAGAAATGGATGTTGGAAGAATAAGTACCATCAGAAGTACTTAGAATTTCTTCTCAGTTTTCTTCCATAGCAAACCTATGGGGATGCCTGCTTTACATAGAATAAATAGCAGGTGGTACAACATTATCATCCTGTCATCCACTGCGCAAGTCCAGGGCCTGATCTTGAGAAAGCAAACACAAGGTCAGGGCTCAGCTTTACTGAACGCCTGCTAGAGCACAACCCCTTAACAAGGTTGGTCGGTTGCTCGGTCAGAAAAGCATTTAAACTGATCAAGCTAGAGTAGAGGTTGAAAGACAACCCTTGTTAGTTGTGGTGGTGGGTAGTGGGGATGTTACGCTTCAGAGTTAAAATTCTAAATATTAATACTTTTCCAAAACAGCTTCTTCAGTCTTTGTCATAATGAAGGCAGTTTATTGGCACAAGTAGGAGTTGCATTTTTCAGGAAATGCTGCAAAGGGTATGTCTCTGAAACAGGTGCAGAGCAACCTGCCCTTGCTCCAAATCAACTTAGTTAGGGCAGGTGCAAACAAGCTCAGAGGCAGCCTTCGTGCTTCTGCACCTGAGCTAGTACAAGACACTGAGGATACCACTTCAGGTAACAGACAAATCATGTCTGGAAGATGAGATGCTGCAAGCACAGGTTTCACATAAAGGATGCCAATACCACCCAGTGCAAAACAACAACAACAAAAAAAGAAACCCAAACAGCCTAGTTTATTTGTCTGGAAACGAAACAGAACATTTGCAAGTTTGAGAAAATATTAATACTTTATTTCGGTAATTGCTGTTACCTCTCCAGCCCAAATAAGATGTGATACAGTTTATTGTTTCGCAAAGATACAGCTGAAAGGCTACAAAAGCATGAGGGAAGGAAAAGAGAGAAGGGATAGAGAAGGGCACAAACTGCTGCCGAGGGTGTACCCATCAAAACTACTGTGAAAGTAGTTTTCAAACATTAATTGGGGGAAAACAAATACATACCTTATGTAAACAAGTGTCCACTACCCAATTGCACACTTTTTCCAGGTCATCTGATACTTCAAGTCTAGACTTAACAAATTCACAGAGCTCTTCATTGCTCATTACATCCCAGATTCCATCACAAGCCAAGATGATAAATTCATCTTCTTCTGCCCTTAAGATTTCACAAACCTCAGGCTCTGGAGAAACAAGTTGTTCTGTAGGGCCTTTGCCATCAACACATTTGTAGTCATAGTCCCCCAAAGCTCGAGAAACTGCCAGTGAACCATTTACACGCTGAATCATTACACTGCCTCCTGCGTTCTGGATTCGCTCTTTCTCCCTTGGGTTGCAAGGTTTGTGATCCTGTGTTGAGAAACAGACTTGTCCATTCCTATAGAGAACAGCACGTGAATCACCACAATTGATAAAGTACATATGCTCAGGAGAAATCAGAACTCCCACTGCTGTTGAGCCACTTCTGTCCATCCCATTTCTGAGGTCTGAGAAATTGCGCATATACTCATCAATTTTCAAAAAGCCAGTTCTGATTCCACTCTTGACATTCTCCACTGAAGGCTCAAGAGCAGATCCGGGTTTTTCCGTCGCCCTAAAGTCTTCATTGTTAGTGATGTGTTCTAGTAAGTGCGTTGAGCAGTAATTTGCGACACGAGATCCCGCATGACCGTCGTAGACAGCAAAGAAAGACCAGTTTTCTAAGCCATGGGGAATACCTACAACAGCTGTGTGAGCATCTTCCATTTCCACTCTCCATCCCTGCATGCTGCTGAGGCCATAACGCAAGCCGTTCCCTGCACCATGAGCATTATGTTTTTCAGTTTTTGGTTTATCCAAAAATGCACCCATGGTTATGCAATATCGAATCTGGAAAACAGAAAAGAAAAAGCTTTTTTTTTTTTTAATAAGCCTACCATTCCATAAGCTTGCTCAGCACTGTTTCAGTTCTTTTCCCCTTTCCTTGTGTTTTTTCCTTATAATACATGTTATAAAGAATGAGAATATATTTGTGCAAGTCAATTAGAAGTGGGAAAGGTAATTAAACGGCATCAATAAAATGTGATTCTAAAGACACTTAAAAACAAAAAAACAAAAAACAAACAAAAACAAAACACACACACACACACACACTATTTCCAGCCTACAGCACACAAAAAAGTGCTGTCTATGAAGAAGCAGTTCTCTACAGACCTATTTTGTCATTCCCTGCAGAAACATACCCATGCTGGAATCATAGAATCACTAAGGTTTGCAGGGACCTTTAGGAATCATCCAGTCCAGCCCCCCTGCACATG